GTTCGTGACGAGGTTGGTCCAACTCCTGCGTGACGCGGCCGAGAGGGTCCCGCGGTGCCACGTGCGGTGCCGGATCGATGCGCCCGACAACAAAAGTCTGAGTTGTTGTACTCCTAAACTCATTCGTGTTATTCAATCTGCAGCCTCTGAATGATTATAGTCATATAATTATTCCCGCGGTTTGCTAGAACAACGTCTGAAAGTTTTTAGTCATAAAATCGTTCCCACTGTTCGTTCCCGCTGTTTGCGTTGCAACCTTTTAACGATTAGAGCCTGATAATACTGTTTCTACTCAGTCTTGTTGTTGGAGTCGTACCATGGCAGTGGCGAGCGTCGAAGTTGTTATCATCATATGATTATTCCCACTGTCCGAGCTGCAGCCTCTTAATGATTATAGTCCTATAATCACTGAGGTGGGTGGTCCCACAGTAGTGTTTCTGCTCAGTCTTGGTGTTTGAGTCCTAGTCTAACAGTGGCGAAAGTCTCAGTTGTTGTCGTCCTATCATTTCCGCTGATCGATCTGCGGCCTTTGGATGATTCTAGTCCTTTAGTCATTCCCTGTGTTCGGTCTGCAACCTTTTAATGATTATAGTTCTATAATCATTCCCGTTGTTCTAGCTGCATCCTCTGAATGATTATAGTCTTATAATCATTCCGTTGTTTTGTTCGTGGAGGTTTTTATGGAAAAGCTTGGGGAATACTTAGCTCCACGTGTTAAGAGTAGACTTCTTTCGTTACCCGAGCATTGCGACAACCTCGACCCCCGGGCCGTCAAAAACGATGGGAGGCAATGAAAAAATGCTTGCGCGGGGTGTGATTTCCCCACAGACATGTGTCGACTCTTCAGAAACTCTCGAGAAAGGTTCGGGTACGAAGCCAAAAGGTCACAAAAAGAAACAACTTGCAACGAAACCTGCGCCGTCTTCGAAAGGGAAAGGCAAAGCACCGCAAGGAGAGCTTCAAGTTCCTCGAGGTCACGGTCTCGTGCCCCGCGAACTCACTGAGGAGATGACACGTGCCTGAATCGAGTTTGAGAATTTGAAGGAGAAGAAAATCTCCCAAGACCCTTTTTGCCCATGTCGTGTCTCTAACGACCGCCAGAGGATGGAACGGGAAATAGGCCTCTCGAGATTCGGGAGCCCGAAGAAAACCACGTCTCCAGAATCATGAATTCAATGATTACTTGCCCGACTGGAGACCATCTTCCCTTCGTCGGTGTGGTGGATCCCTCGATGGTGACAAATAAGAAAGAAGTGGATTTGGTCCGTTTGAGGAATGATGAGTACACCATTTATATTCTTGGAGGTGGACATTATCAGGAGATGAGGGAATGCTTGCGAAAGCTCTACCCTGACAAAGATGATTACAACTGGAATGAATGCTATGTCTATGCGGGCTTGACGGCGGAAGAAGCAAGGCAGGTGGGTCACAAGCACAATTTGGCAGCTGGCTACCACAGAGATATAAACTGCATTGAGAAAATGAAATGTTGGCATAACATCTTCGAGAGAATGAGGTCTGTGAAGAACGTTGAAGTCAAGTTGGTCTGCCTGTGGGAGTTTGGCATACCTGTTTCTGCCAAGAAGATGCAGACTAATGACCCGTTGTTGCAGATTGCTATGCGTCCTAAAGAGATCTGGGACCTGCAACTGCGAATTTCTGAGATGTGGCAGAGGGGAGAAGTCAGGAACCAGAAGCTTAAGCCGGTGACAAAGAGTAAAATTCGCATCGACGTCTCTCCAGAATCTAGCGAGTCTGAAGATGGCAAGAAAAAGCGTGGAGTGAAAAAACTGGATAGGGCGGTTGCGAAGAAACAAGAGATGGTATTCTTCAATCCTCACCTGAAATTGAAGGACAACAAAGTTGCTTTGGCACCTGTTGACATGTCTGCGCAGCCTTGGATTACGATGGGCAATATCCCACAAGAGGCTATCATCCCGATTTTGACAGAAGTTGTATCCAAGCAGATCTCTCTGGACGAAATGGAGAGGAAATTCAAGGTCGTGAAGAAGTTTGGCTACATGCCAAAAACCTTCTGCGATGGTGTGAAATGCAAGAACTTGAAAGCCGCAGAGGAGTTGTATCCTTTGGAATCCGCATGAGGTTGCTCACTGACATCGAAGGGACGTTGTGAAGAGAAAAGCCAAAAGAGGGGAAGGGCAAGTCGAAGGAGCTGCAGCATGATGCAGATGTTGAGGAATCTGGCGATCACGGGCTAGCGGAAGAAGAGGACAATGTTGAGGAAGGCACGACCAGGGAGGCTTCTGGCTATGAGATGACGCATGAGACATGGAAGTTGTTACAGGGATTGATTGCACCTGAAGCTGACCTTGCTAAGGAGGCAGCAGGAGCTGACCAGCAGCAGGAACCACCCGTGACAGTACTTGCAGAGGAGAAGGAGACCGCCGTGGCGCCTTCACAGGAAAAGGCTAAGGGTGGAAATGTCTCACCATCCACTGCGACTGATACCTTTCAAAAACGCAACTTCCCGGGTCGACCAGCCAGCGAGAGGAAGGCAAACTGTCTCATCGCAGGGAAGTCACTATGGAGACAGGCAAGATCGCAGGGTTGTCCAGCAATCCTGAGAGGGAGGAGCTCACACAAAACCAGGGTTCGAGTAGAGCCACAGAGACAAGACCGTGAGGTTGTAAAAGAAAGGTCGCAGGCGAGGTGGCGGTCAACTCCCAGCCAGGCATTGTTATGGGTCTGCGCAACAATGTTCGGCCACGTGTAGGGAAATAAGCGAGGTCATAACGATATTTTATCTACTTCACTTCTTTGGAATGATTCTACCATCATTTTTCCAAATGGTTGTAGTCGTTTAATCTGTACGACGTTTGGTGCCACAGTCCTGCTTCTTCTCAGTCTCGATGTTGGAGTCGTGGTCTGACAGTGGCGAGCGTCTCAATTGTTATAGTCCTTTACTCGTTCTAAGTGTTCGACCTACAACCTGTGAATTATTTTAATCCTCTAATCATTTCCATTGTTTGAGCTACAACCTCTGAATGATTATAGTCTTATAATCACTATGGCGGGTGGTGCCACAGTCGTGGTTCTGCTCAGTCCCGCTGTTGGAGTCGTGGCCTGACAGTGGCACAACGCCCGTTGTTTGCAACATTCTTGGTTCTGCTACGTGGGAACTTCGTTGTACACAAAGAAACTTGGCAACCGACTGTTTTGTAACAAAGCTAGATCCGCTGCATCGTTCCACCCACACTTCTTTCGGTTTCAAAATGGTTTGTTTGCAGCAATTTAAAATCGCAACCAAACACGTTGTTGCTCTCGAAGTAGTCCTATAAAGTTGACTTTGGTGAACATGTTTTTTTACGCCTACTTGATACTAAACAAGGCCTCTTTGACAAACATGTCTTATAGTCATATAAATAAGGCCTTTTGAAAGACATGTCTTAAAATAACAACCATCATTGACAACTTGAGAAGCACTCCACACTTATGTTTTTCTGTTGCAACATGTTGCTCTTTCCTGTTGAGTGCGTTTTTGATGGAGTTTGAAAGCAATCAATCGTTTCACTCCTGCTGAGCTATCTCAAAATTGCTAGGCAACATGGGTTATCTGGCCGAATAATCTGGTCGGATTATTTGGCCGGATGAACGGGGGGTAGGATCATCCGGCAATCCGGATGATTAAAAACACGGCCTAAAAAAAGCAAAAAAAAAAAAAAAAAAGTAATATTGCGCATGCAAAATACAATAGAACTACGTTCTTATTTCATTAAAAACTTGATAGGGCCTATAAGGGTTCAAAGGGGATAAGATAGGGAATAAAAGGGTTTAGAGGGGGGATGCTTAATTCATTCTATAATTTTTTATCTAAATATTATTTTCTTGTTCTGTTTTATTTTTTATCTTCATATCTGTTGAGTAATCAACGATGGTCTCAAGCCAAAATTTGTTGATATCATTGATATGAACAACATAAAATTTTTCCAGATTTTTTTTGAATTTTCTTTTTCCGAATTTATTTTTTTTTGGCGCACGACCGGATTTCCCATATCCGGAATTAATCCGGAAATTTCATCCGGATTCAAAATTCCGGATAAAATTGGTCTGCTAGATATTTGGATTTTCTACTTCGCAAAATTGTGTGTTTTTCTAGGTTGTTCTTTCAGACGTCCGGGATGTCCGACCGGGCGTCTGGTCGGACGTCGGACCGGACAGGGGATGTCCGACCTAGCGCGAAAAAAAAAAAAAAAAAAAAAAAAAAAAAAACATTTTTTTTTTTGAAAACAATCATGTGGCTTTTGCCTTGTATAAGGTGTATGCCACCAAAATTTTGGCTCATTTGAGCTAGTAGAAAAAAAGATAAAAATCTTCAAAGTTTTTAATCCCCACCTATACCCCTCCTATCTTCACCAAAACCCCTCGTACCCCCCCCTCCCACCCCAAATAGAACCCTATCACCAAATGCTCAGAAAACTGTGAATTTTTTTATGGGGGGTCTCTATGGCATGCGCAACACTGTCATAATTTTTTTTTTTTTTTTTTTTTTTTAATGCCAAAARGTGGTTGTCCGGGATCCYGGACAACCCCCCTACCGGACGGTTGGGGGAGACGTCCGGCCATCGGACGACTGGTTACCTAGGTGTTTTCAACATTCTAAAATCATAACCAAACACATCGACGCTCTCGGTGTAGTCCTTGAAATTTGACTTCGTTGAAGAGTTCTTGTTGCCTGCTTAATTTTAACCCCTCTTCACATCCCCCTTCATCCCCAAGCCTACACTCATCACTTTCGTCCTACAACGAGCACCTGACCAAAATTCCTAAGCTTGTCAACCCCTCTCCCGTTGCATTAACCCCAAGTACAGAATCGACCCCGAAATTAAAGCATATTGCCCATCCACAGAAGACACACCCAGGCAACAACCCTGGGAAAAAAATTATTGTAAAGTGGTACTACGCAAGGGTGTGATGTGTAAGCTTTAGACTTCACTTTCAAGTGAAATTGCTCCTGGGGAGTCCGGAGGTGAAGCAAACTTACCCATACGCAACTCTAACAAAAGTGACCCGCTAGATTAAGACTGAGGAGTTACCCAAAATCGTATGCCGAATATATCTTGGACTGAGTCTCTAAACATCAACCAAGAAAGCTAGGACCTCGTTATAAGAGCTTTATGCAATCTGCCCAAAAGGTCGCGTAGAAGACGTGGGTCACTGTTTACTAAACTGCCAAAAACCATAACTACTCTGGTCTAACACATCTTAACTCCGGCATATAATCACTAACGAAATCCTCCCGACTGACCTTCTCACTCTCCTAGTGGGCCTGTACATCCCATCCACTTGGCACGGTCACGAGAACACTCTCTTTCACATTCTAAGACTGACAATGTTTTGGATGATTTGGAAAAGAAGATGTCTAGAGACGATTGATCGTACGCCAATTTTGGTGCACGACACATGGGAAGGAGTCCTAAATTTACTAGAGGTACAATATAGATAGCGCTGGGAGAGAGTGTGTAGAGAAATAGAGAAGAATATAGCAGATAAAGACAAACTTTTCGAGGATTTTTCCAAGAAGCATGTAGGGGAAGGGAGAAAAGCAACAATCTCCCAGAACAGATTACAATTCGGACAATCGAGACACATTAGACTTAGCATACCAGAACCCCCAGACCCGCCTCAAAGTATATCCGATTTCATAGGAATCTCTATCGGATTCATTTAAAGAAACCAAACAACACCAGCTAGCCCTGAAACAATTTCGTCCTACCAACCCAGAATAGGAAAACCCAACTACCTCATTTCATTTTAATAGGTCGTGTTCTTTGAGCAGGAAGCGGATGAAGAGCAAATTCTGACGATTTGGGGTTAGACTCCGAAGAGTGACTAATATTGTTCTTTGAGTGAAATGCACCAGGAAGCAGATGAAGACCATATTTTGACTAATTGGAAGCTGCTTGGTTGCTTGATTGATTGGTTGGAAGTAAAACTGCTTGATTGATTGATTGAATGATTGATCGACTGATTGAATGATCATTTGATTGTTTGATTGATTGATTGATTGAATGCTAACGAATGATTGTCTTGATCGACACACACACACACACACACACACACACACACTCACACACAAACACACACTGCGTTGCCACTTGTATGCACCCTCGTACGAGTACGGATTCGTACTTTTGTACTCGTACGCTACTCGTACGGTAGGGCCCCTGTACAAGGTGTTTTTTTTTTTTTTTTTTTTAATTTGGTGGTGTTTTTATTTGTTTTCCCAAATTCTAATAAGAATGTGAAGATGATGCGCAACCAAATTTTGCTTGTTTTGTGCTGTTGCATCACATATTTGTTTTTTCGGATTTTTTGGATAACTGTTTTTTTTTTTTTTTTTTTTGCTTTTTCGTACGGGGGCGTACAAGACGTACAGGTTTCTGTACAGGTTCCCGTACATATATTACCTGTACGTTTCATACGGAAAGGTCCCGTACGTGTACTTTACACAACGTAGCGCACACACACACACACACACACACACACACACACACACACACACACCTGTCTCTTATACACATCTAGAGTTCGTGACGAGGTTGGTCCAACTCCTGCGTGAC